GCGCTGGGCAGGGGGAGGAGCTCCAGACTGCCGGAGGCCCGAACGTCCAGTGATCTGTGAATGCAGGGAGGGAGGGAGGGAGTGATCTCAGCTGCTGGGGAGAGGAGGGGGAAGCGGAGGAGGGGCTCTCTGGCTGCCGGAGCCCAGTGCATGTGGCACCATCTGGCCGGCTGCCCCATCAGCCGCGCGCGCTCTGCATGGGGGGGAAGTCCGGACATTTCCAGATTCCCCCTGGACGCTATTTTTAACTCAGAAAAGCCAGACATGTCTGGGGGAATCCGGACGAATGGTAACCCTACACTGTATCCAAGGCCAGTTCCCCCCCCTGAGTTTTCAGGGGTAACTACACCATATATCTTATGTCATCGGGAATGGGCCAGCAAGCTGAGCCACTGCCCCCCAGGCCCAAGAATCTTCTGGGAAGGGCTGGACAGTGACCCAGAGGTTGCATGTTAAGCACTGCAGGGTGCTGACTGCCCCTAGTTTTAGCGTATTAGCGACTGCATTGGGAAAGGGCTGGCTTCCCTCTGCTCCCTGGTAGTGTATGTAGGAGGAGTGAGAGGAAGAAAAATTTAAGCATTTAGCTGGCCTCTTCGTTCAAAGTACCCGAGCATGCAAGAGGACACTAGCCTCTGCATAAATATAAGACTAATTATTAAAAATAAATCCTACTGCAAGAGAGAGTTCTGCCCTAATCTCCTGGATTTTCCTCCAGGACTGTGTTCTTATTATTTCTTTGCTGCACCTCATTGTATCTCACGTAAAGAGATGCAGTCATTTAAACTCCACTGCATACCAATCAGATATAATGACGTGGCTCACGTTGGATCCGTCACAGCTGATGGCATGCACAGTACATGTTCTGGTACATTAAAGGCAGCAACGTCATAAAAGCTGTTGACAAGGAACCCTAAAACAAGATCAGCAAAAGCATTGTGATGTTGTGTGCTTTACCGTAGATTCATTCCATCTGTACACTCGGATTAAGGTTTTATCTTCATTGCCCTTGCTCTCAGTCTTCCTTTTAGGATGGGCACTATATAGTACCATTTAATTCTTGGCTTGAAAGTGACTTCCAACATGGCTGATAGCCAGAAATATTCTATTAAATTGTTAGAGATTTTTGATCAATGCACTTTGTTCCTGAAAAAATCAATGCTTCTGAGTGCTTTATGCAATGTGCTTTTCATTATGTCCTTTGAATGACATTAGTTGCCATGCCAACATGATGTATAGTAGCAATTTTCCTCCAGAACCTGCTGCAGGTATTAAAGACAATGGGTTCATATGTATCAGCTGATTTATTCTAGCTGAGGATCTAGCCAACACCTTATCACCTTTCCCACTCCCCCAGCCCCTAAAACAACTGTCTATTTTAGGGAAAACATCCAGTTTCTCATTTTGAAAGGAAGAATTATAAGGGATACATCAGTCTCCCCAAAGTAGGTTTGCTAGAAAAATGGATTACAAATGTACAATGTAATTCATATCTTATTGCCCTTATATTAAATCCATGGTATGCCCACATCTTGAATACTGCGTACAGATGTGGTCTCCTCATCTCAAAAAAGATATACTGGCATTAGAAAAGGTTCAAAGAAGGGCAACTAAAATGATTAGGGTTTTGGAACGGGTCCCATATGAGGAGAGATTAAAGAGGCTAGGACTTTTCAGCTTAGAAAAGAGGAGACTAAGGGTGGATATGATAGAGGTATATAAAATCATGAGTGCTGTGGAGAAAGTGAATAAGAAAAGTTATTTACTTGTTCCCATAATATAAAAACTAGGGAGCACCAAATGAAATTAACGGGCAGCAGGTTTAAAACAAATAAAAGGAAGTTCTTCTTCACACAGTGCACAGTCAACCTGTGGAACTCCTTGCCTGAGGAGATTGTGAAGGCTAGGACTATAACAGAGTTTAAAAGAGAACTAGATACATTCATGGGGGTTAAGTCCATTAATGGCTATTAGCCAGGATGGGTAAGGAATGGTGTCCCTACGTTTGTCAGAGGGTGGAGATGGATGGCAGGAGAGAGATCACTTGATGATTACCTGTTAGGTTCACTCCCTCTGGGACACCTGGCATTGGTCACTGTCGGTAGACAGGCTACTGGGCTGGATGGACCTTTGGTCTGACCCAGTTCGGCCATCCTTTTGTTCTTATGTTCAGCATATGCCATGAAAATTGGGAGCCATTCTTGACAGCACCCCTCTCCATTAAAAAACAGAAGTGTACCGGGCTTTGAAGAATTACATCTCTGTACGAATTCTAAGTGTTATCAAAAACTTATTGTATTTAAATTTGGAAAAACACACAATATTGTTGCAGTATGTTTAATGGGTTTTAATGTTGATATTTAAAGGAAGACCAGTGAGACATGTGTGTTGTTTCCAACTGTAAATCGAGCTCATAATCAAGCTTGAAAGAATTAAGCTTGATTAATGTTAAACTTTTCATCAGTCGACTTTCTTCCCAACATTGACAACTTCTTCACGTGAAATCTGAGATGTCATGCTGTGAAGGAGAGAGAACTGCCATCTCTGGTTAATCCACTTGTTATCTCAGGAATGTGCACACACTTTGGTTTTGAGATAATAATGGGAGGGGGAAGATCAAATATTTGATAGCTGAGCATTGAACTGTGTGTACCTTGTTAGAAAATGCAGGAAAGCTGGAAGTGAGGCATTCATCAAAGTTTAACTGTTTACTCTTTGTGTTTCCCTTTTCTCAAAAGGGAGATGATTCAGTTAACCATATCTTGGATACTCAGAGAAACTAGGCACTTGGAAACAAATTCAACATGGATGTAATGTCTTAGAAATTGACTGTGGATCTTCAATAATGTTCATGAACTGTTTTATTTCTCAAATGTAGAAATCCACAGTCTAGTCACATCAGTTTGCATAACAAGTCATATGCATTATCAATTCTTCTTTTATTATAGGACCAAATCTTATAATAAAGGAATTTTGCTGCACTAGGGATGACTGAAAAAGAACTTGAGTGTTTAGCTCATACAGTGGACCTTGGTAGAAAACTAACTCTTCCATCACAGCACCAGGAGGGGGCCCTCTCTCTCTCCCCCCCTCCCCCCACTCCCCCAACAGAAATCTAGCAAAGGGACATGTGCAGAGGATCTTGCATTTTTGAATGACCCTACATTGACATGTTCATTACAACATTCCTCAGGAAACGAGTGACTATGGCCTGAAGCTCGGCAGGTCAAAGAAACACAAAAGTAGAGTCGCCCAACTTATTTATAATGCAGCTTAAAAGAAAGGCAAAATTCATAAGAAAACTAGTTTGACAAGCCAGCCCTTGCTCTGAAAAGGTAAATCCTGTCCTCTTGTGAATAAGGTGGTTAGTTGCTAACAAGCTAATAATGATGATAAAAATCACAAATGATTTGCATACATGATGGGGGGAAAAACAATATGGAGAAAGGTGATTTCATTTTTAAGCTTCCAAGATGGCAATGTAAACTACAGGACTGGAAGGTGGGCATTACTTTACAAAGTCCTCATAGAGCATGTTTTGTAAATTCAGGATATTCTTTATAGCAGATTATTCTTGTGTTTGAGCTCTGGAACTGTGTAGAGTAGTTTTTATATGAAGGCTGAATTGATGCCATGCTACCTTTATATGCTGGTCTGCTATAAAAAATGAAATGGTAAAAGGAGATGGCTCCACAGCAGAATATTTTTCCTTCTAATATTTGCAATTGCCTTTGATGCCTCCCTCCACGTTCTCCCCCCATATCCATGTAATTAATGTATCACACAGAAGTAACACATTTTTGTCATCTCTAGGGTGATGAAGAGGCGAGCCTTGGCCTTCCTATAAGTCCTTTCATGGATCGCTCAGCTCCCCAGTTGGCACACCTTCAGGAATCCTTCATTTCTCACATTGTGGGTCCACTATGTAATTCCTATGACTCAGCGGGGCTGATGCCAGGGAAATGGGTGGAAGATAGCGATGAGTCAGGAGATACTGATGAGCAAGAAGAGGAAGAAACAGCAGAAATGGAAATGTGTGAAAATTCCGAGTCAAGTATGTTGTTTGCATCTATATCTTTCAGTGGGGCTGATTTCATTTCATGGGCTAACGATCCCCTGTATAAAAGCCTAAAGAGTTTCTCCTAGTCAGCCATAACCTGAATTTCTCTAGAACTGGACTAGCTGAACTGGCCCCCAAGAGGTTTAACGGGTAGCCACACATTTTGGGAGTGGAGAAGCTTCTAAAGACTTCACAGACAACACTTCTAGTAGGTCATTAGGTTGCCCATCCTACATCTGCGATTTTTAGACTGCTCCATGGCTGGTTTTTAAAGGACTATAATTTTTTCTCCATTGGAAGATGTGGGTAGGACAAGATCTTCATCTTTTTGTTAGGTTTTTGTACGGTGCCTGGTACAATAGGCCCCAGTTCCCTGATTGGGACCTGTAGATGCTACCACAATATATAATTTTTTTTAATGGTGGAAATATTTGAGAACACATCTTCTTGTGGAAAGGGGTCCAGTTTGCTGTATTTGTGCTGTGCATTGACACGTAAGAGATTTGGGTTTGTATCAGCTCCAGAGAATTTTTTATGACCCTCAAACCTCTGGCCAATCCATAAGTAATATTGATAGACTCCAAAATCCATCCAGTCCTCTGCTGAAAGCATGACTGTGGCAGTGATTGGCCTGTTGGGAGGAAGCTTTGGTAGTCTATGAGGGGATGTTGAGGAACCTGTGAAAAATGGTTTGGAGTGGTAAGTTAATTTGGAGCCCATGTCTCTTGGTAGTTTCCCTTTAAATTAATCCAGCACCTCAGCCCTTACCACCTGTAGCCTTCCTGCCTCTCTCAGGGTCAGGGCGCCCCCTCCAGAGGCATCAGGGAGTCAGTAGGCCCACTGTATATATTGTTGGGTAGCCTGGCTTGCGGCTGCGCAGTCGCCCAAATAACAAGTCAAACCTCCGAAAGAGGATTAAGCCAACTACCAGTCAGCCGGGAGCCCAGGCTTCCTGGCTGGGGTGAACAGCAATATTCTATGGCTCAAACCCTGTGAGTGTGAGCTGAGCAATTAACAGTCTATGGCTTCAGCCTCCTGGTCCACCCTGCTCCACTGGGTCCCAGCCCAGGGCACTAGAAGTGGTGGGCGATCCTGCCGTGGGGTCAGCAAAGAAACATGTGATCGCTGCCTTACATCCTGGCAGCACAGCCGGGTCAAAGTCTTGTTTCCCTGGGCTACTTCCTACCAATTCCTGCTGGTGCTGCTTCGTCACTGCTGGGATCCATTTCTCAGTCTCGTGGTCAGGTGGCCCTTCCTCCAGTCTCTCCCTGGGCTTTCTGTCTCCTGGGGAGGTGGTTTGCCTTTTCTTTCTGCTCCCAGCCATGGGCTTGACTGAGGGCTCAGCTCCCTGGGAGAGAGGTCTGCCTCCTTCCCTGGTCCGGCCCCAACTGAGCTGCAGGGCCCTGTTCTTATACTTCCTGCCTACCCCTGCACTTCCTGTGGAGGGGGGTGGGGTGTGGTTAACTGCACCCACCAGGGGGACTTAACCCTCTCTGTACTGGAGGCGGGCCACTCTGCCTCATTACACCACCTCTTTTCTGTTCCTCCCTCTTCTGCATTCTCTTCTCCCATTTTATTTCTGTTCCTTTCCCTTCTGTTTCACTTTCCTTTTTGGCATCCCCTTCCCCCCGTTCTCCAACTCAACTTTTTACTAGGAAGGAGGTTTGGATCTAGGGGAGGGAGAGGAAGCCATCAGAGTTCTAGTACAATATTAGTAATATTTAGTACTTGTATAGGGCTTGTCACCTAAGAATCTCAAAGTTCTTCACAAAGGAGGGTCAGTATCATTCCCATTTTGTATATGGAGATTTATGATGTGAGAGGTTTAGGGACTTGTTTAAGGTCAAAGAGAAAGTCAAAATCAGGGCTCAGAATAGAACCGGGGTCTTCTGACTTCCAGTCCAGAATTCTATCCACTAAATCATACAGCCTCTTCAACCACACGTGTGATGCCGTAACTTGTAACTAGTAAACCACTGTTCTCATTCACTTTGAGTCCTTTTCATAAATGCATTATGTTCATATGAACATATAGGAATTGCCCTACTGGCCAGACAGGTGGACTGCATAGTGTAGTATCCTGTTTTAGTAGTAGCGGAAGATTGTTTGCAGTATTGTTGCAGCTAGGGCTTTGGAGCTGTGCTCTGGCTCCGCTGCAGCTCCAGGCAAAAACCGGCAGCTCCACTGCTCCGGAGCTGCTCCGCTCCAAAGCCCTAGACTTGTAGCTGTGTGTGTCCCAGGATATTAGAGAGACAAGTTGAGTGAGGTAATATCTTTTTTGGACCAACTTCGGTTGGTGAGAAAAAAATTTTGAGTATACACAGAGCTCTTCTTCTTCAGTGGAAGATTGACAGTTATGGAATTACCTGATGAGAGGGAAAGTTTCTTCAGTTAGTGATTCATTTATGCCCTAGAACATGACACTTTATATCTGTTACATTTATTAAAAAATAACCCTAATTAATGTGACAGTGGCTGTTGTCATTATCCACGAAAATGACTAGACTTCTTTTGGAATACTGTTGCTCTCTTGGCCTCAGTGACATCACATCGCAGTAAGTTAGACAGGTTAATTATGTATTGTGGGTTTTTTAAAAAAGCTTTAATTTTGTTGTCTTTCACTTCCATTGAATATCCCCTTGTTCTTTTATGAGAAGAGGTCAGTAGAGCAACTGATTCATATTCATCTGCCATCTACCATTCCATCCTCTGGTGTAGTTGCTGATTTCAATGACAGATTACATATTTTTTAATAGTAATTTTAAATTCCTTAAGCAATCTAAGGTGTTATACTGTCTGGGCCTGTAGCTTGGTGTACTTCAATGTACCAATTTGTTCTGACATCTCCTCTTTTGACACATCAGTCCCTCATCTTTAAGCCCTGAAAAGTCTAAATCTAGGGTAGGTATCTCTTCAATATCCTCCACACTGATGTAACCATTTACAAGATTACAAACATTAGTCAGGTATTTAGATCTGTTTTCAGTGTCATTTTGAATATTCCAAGCTCTTTCAGCACAACACAAAAGAGATCTCCTGTTTTCAAAGAGATGTATGCCTCTGATTTGCCCATATATGTCAAATACTGAGAAAAAGAATTTTTTTTACCACATTCAGGACAACTGTAAGTGAAATGTGTTTGAGAAGATGGAAAGGGGAAATTATTGTAGAAGGCCTTTCATTGTAGTCAAGGTAATTCATTAGAACGTTTTAGATAATTGGACTTTAATAAAATTAACTAGTGTATTGTCTGACCTGCAAACATTTGATGTAGCTTAAAAGCAAGAGATATTTTATGTCATGTCTGAACAGGTAACTTCCAACAAGCCCCGTTGTGAATTTAAGAGTTAAACTGAATCAATCCTTATTGGGTTCAAACAAAATCTCAAGCCATAACAAATCTCTGCTGAGAGCTGCAAGATTTGGGGTCACAGGAAACCTGGGATAGAATGTTCTAATATGGTGTATTGGTGGAATAGAGGTTTCTTATTATTATTAAACCTGAAAGTTTCCTACAGGGAACCAAGAGCTTTTTAATGAAGGATTGAGCTGGATTTGGACTGTGCTGCAGTGAAAAGCTCTTTGTTTCCAATTCAAAAGCTTCAAGGACTCAACATTTTGGCTCCCAACACAGACATGCTTTAGGCCACCTGCAAACTCTCATTTACGCAAATTTATTTGGTACAAAACATTCCTGTACGTCACTCTATTTTTTTTTTCAGTAGAATTCCTGAAGAGGTTTATTATTTAAGTTCTATAGCTGCCACTGCCACTCTTCACGATTGGTGAAAATCTTCAGGCTTTGTGTTGAACGGAATTGTAGCTATCACAACTCTATCACCATCAGACTACAGGACCGTCTACAATAATGGGCTGTTACCCAGGGCAGGAAAAAGTTTGTGGTGCAAGTGACTCTGATGATGGGAAGTGGCAAATATAGTTTGTAGTATAATCGCAGCTTGATGCCTCAAAACTAGAAAGAAGGAAACTCCAAGGCTGTGATATTATTTGCCATAGGACTTCACTTATCAACGGTCCAAACTCAGTTGTCATAACAATAGCAATGCTGCGCTATATTGTGTGAAACCTAGATTTGGATTTTTCACTTGCTGCTTCAGTGGAGCTCAGGCCCATTGCAATAGCAAGGTAATGTGTAGAGCAGATCTTTAAAAGGAAGGGATCATAGGTGCTATTTTGTTGACTAATGTATAGAACATTCATTACTTGCCTTTTCCCCGTCCACAGCTCCTGTCAGTGCATAGGTAATGCATAAAGAAAAGAAAACAAATATTTCATAGAGTAGTGAAGGGTCTTAAATTGGTCAGCCTGAAGCAGGCCACATTTGCTGTCAAAAAGAGCACATAGCATGCCCAAATGAGTCAGAGGAGACATGCACTTTGTAATATTTTTACAGGCAGTATATCATTCAGCCACTAGATGTCTTTGTGTGCTGTACAGTGTCCTGGACCGGGTGTGCTCCTTGGTAAACAAAGGACACAAAGCTGGGACTCAAACTGTGTGAAAGTTGGCTTGGTCTATTTTTCCATGTAGTTGTACTTTTTTTTTTAAATAAACAACTCTTAATTAAGATGGACCCTTGATTCCATATATCATGACTCTTGCTCTCTCTTCCCTCTCAAGAAAACAATATAGTAATTTCGTCTAATATTTTACAGGAAAGAAAAAGTTCAAGCGGAGGAAAATCTACTGCCAGATCACTCAGCACCTGCTTCAGAACCATAAAATGTGGAAGAAAGTAATTGAAGATGAGGAAAGGATAGCTGGGACAGAAAAGCAAGGTCTAGAGCAATCCACGCTGCACCAATCCTCAGAACAAATTCAGGCCATCAGGGAAGAGGAGGAGGAGAAAGGGAAACCCAAAGGGGAGGAGGAGGAGGAGGAGGACACAGCTATAGAACTGAACCAATGACAATATTTTCAACAGTATTTTAAGACAGATTGACTTGTGCACAGACTCCTTTTCAAGCCAGCACAACATTTAGACACAACACTGTAGAAATATTGGATAATGCGCCTACAGCAATTTGATTTCTCTTTCCTTTGTATGGTGAGGTACATTGTTTAAACTCCTACGCTCAAGAAGCTTTCGCACTGCGACACCGGCTTTTACAGACTTTCTTAAAGGGGCAAGGGGAGGGTGGAATTGTATACAAAGCCGATCATTGGCTGCGCACTTCAGCAAAATACATGTAATGATATGTTATGGTCACTGTGATATAACAGAAGGAAGTTGTCCAAGGAAATGCTGCTCCTAAAGCACATTTGCAGTTAACTGTAAGGTACCAGTTAAGTAGATTTTGCTCTTAAAGCTGAGGGATAAAAGTTCCAAAGCTTTCTCAGAATGTTAATACATCCTGCTAACATATATGTGGGGGAGAAGAGGGCGCATATGTGTGTGTATTTGGCTGGATGTACTATAATGTAATGTAGTTTGAGTTTTTATCAGACTAGGTTTAGCACATGGCTTGTGAACAAACACAAGGCCCCAATTCTAGGAAATTTGGGTTGGCATGGAAAGTGGAGCCCTTTGTAAGGAGCTCTGCATTTTCAGTGGCCAATGAAGCCTCGTTTTGCAGCCTGGTTGCACCACTGTCTTTCAGCAGAAGCCGTGCGACTCTCACTGCTGACCTGGCACCATTTGGCAGCACCCTGTGACTGAACTCCTAACCACCTGCCACGTTGGCACTTTCCAGACTGCCAGTGAAAGGAATGTGCATGGAATCCATCGTACCCAAAGTGCGGGTTATTATAGGGCACACTTTGTTACTCGTCGTTAAAGAAACTGTGCCTTTGAATGAGTTAGTGGTTTCAGGGAGCACTGTGTGTGTGAGAGAGAGAGAGACCATGCATGCTTGGGAATTAATCACACACTGTCGCTTCCTCCCTCCCCCAGCCTTACATTTCCTTGTGTCAGTGGCCAAACACATTGTAAAATGAAGCTAAATTGTCATCTTTAAAGTGCAGCAGGAGGGGAGATGTGAAGCCATCCAGTTCCTTGGGCTCAAAAGGCAATGTCTTTGTGATGCTCCAACAGAAGGATGTGGTGAGGGAGCAGCTGCTTGTCCATATTTGCTAGATGCTTGTATGCCTCAGCAGCCACTCACACCAGCTTCAGAGAGTGCCGTTTTTCAGCACAGGGTGCTGAAGGGGAGCAGTTTGCAGCTGGCATTCTGCTTAGATGCAGCATACTCCATCCATACTACTTTATGTTTGCGCTTTGGAGGGGAAAAAAAAAGATGGGGGCTATAGTAGAGCAGATAATTTTTGGTTTGTTTCTCTGTCATTTAAGCTGTGAGCCAAACGTCTATTTAAAAGGTTGATATTCACGTTCAATATTTTATTTCACGATATTATATTTGTCAATTATTAGTTATCTAGATGTAAATATGGAGAAATTTTTATGGGTTCCTGTAGATAATGAAATCTTTAAGAAAAAGGGGGGGAAAGGGAAATGTTTTTGTAAAGGTAATTTTTTTAAAAACACCATTTTTATACAGTGTAGCCATTTCCAAGCCCATCAAATAAGGTCTTGAGTAGTTGAGTAGTTATGGGAAGCCACTGGTCTACAGGAGCAAGACACTGACATATTAATGTTTATTGTTTTGGACTGGTAGCCTCAGCCATTATCTTGCTAATTAAGGATTTACCAGAAATCTTTTGGTCCCCCCCAAAAAATCTGAGTTCATGATCTCCCAAAAAGGTGGACCAATGAGGTATGCCATTCTAAAATCTGAGCCTGCAGACCTTATTCATCAACAAAGCTTGAGTGGGGCTGCTTGGATGAATAAGAAATACTCACATAAGTAAAGGTTGCAGTAACAGCCCATCCTGTTTTAACTTAAGTCTCTGATCTGTCCATTGCTCACTCCCTTGTATTTACCACCCTTCACAGTATTTTATTGACTCATTAGTACTTCTTGGGAAATAACAGAGAACATTCTGTTTCTAAACCAGTCTGCATATGTGTTATCACTTCTGTATTTTTCTCCAATTCAGCCTGCAGTTCGGGTCTCTTTGTTTCTTGTGGGTTCATCTTCTCTTTATCTTTCCTTTCCCCTTCAAATAGTAGGAAGACACACTCCACTGTTAGTGACAGCATGATTATAGAGCATGACTTCAGGTGGGAACATCAATAGAAAGAGTTGATTAATGCTAAAAAAATCAAAGATCCTGATTTCATTTTTTTTTAAGTAAGGGAAATCAGATAACTAAGCATAATTCTTTCAAAACAAAATGGAATGCCTCGCAAAGTTTTCTCCAAAGCACCAGCAGGTCTCCAACAATTCAAGCTTGCACTGTTTCGACGTCCATTCAGTCACCTCTGTCTATCATTTAATGTTTTGGCACCAATTATATACCAGGTTGAAGAGCTTTCTCACAGCATTTAACACATCCTTTAGTATTATTTTATAAAAAATTAAACTCTCAGACACTGTAGAATTTCACATCCCAACTGATGATGAAAATCTATGGTTTTAAGTGCACAATGATCAGAGTTGGAATTTTTTTTTTTTTTAAAACCCATGGTTTAAAAAAAAAAAAAAAAACCTTGGTGAAAACAAAAGCCAGGGTTCAAAGGTGCTACTAAGAGCACAGATGGTGTAATAAAGAGGGGAGGCATTCCAAATACAAGGCTGAATCCTGCAAACCTTTCACTCCTGCACATAGTCCTGTTGAATTCCGTGTATAAGTATGGGCTACTCACCCACGCAAGAGTGCAGGACTGGGCCTGTGAAAAAGTGCTCTTTAAAATGTACCTAGAGGAGAATTTTAAGATATATCCTTAGTTGTCATCATTGTGGTTGCTACTCAGCAATATTAAAGTCTGTTTCCAATTCATTGAGCTTACTTCCTGTAGTGCCAGGGAGGCTGTTACAAATTACTACTTTACTACACAAGCCTATTTGTGGGTGCAGTTAGACAAACTCAGGTCTTTTTAAATGAAGGAATTGCTGGCAGGCTGAACAGGAATGGTGAACATTATCCAAACTGTAGAGCAGGAGGCAATAGTAGTGAAAGCAAAAACAGCTGGGACTGGTTAACTTGATAATATGCTATCTGTGGTGATGTGCAGAATTCATTGGTATTAGTAAAAAACCAGCTGCATCTAGTAACAAACCAGGTGACGTTCTTGCACTCCACATTGCTACTGGCAAAACCCGACTTCAGTAGGCAGTGACCCACTTATAAATCTTACCCGTTGTCTTTGAAAATGTGTTTCCACCAAGAAATTGTTATCAGGAAACTTCCCAGGCATGTTTTACCAGGAAAAAGTAGGTTTGTATATTTAGTGTGTGCATACAGTTTTGCGTTCTTTTGTAGTAGATAACAAAGCAAATAATTGATTATCCAGAGATTTGTGTACTGGTCTTGGCCCAAAAGAGAGGGAAGAACCAAAACTTTCAACCAGAAGTTTCAGCAGCCCTTTCAAAGGCCAGGCCATTTTGGTTTCCTACTTTCTACAGCCCTTTGGTGTTCTGAAATCCAGATAAACCACAGCCTGTGCAATAATTTTGAAACAAAAAAAAGTAAATTGCATTTCATCAGCAGTGTTCAGTTTTCAGGTAGAGTATCAATGAATGTTTAAAGTGTGTTGATATGAGATTCTGGTATGTACAGTATATAAATTATTTGTTTAATACTGAGGAAACCAAAGACCTTTTCAAGAATGTTTCTCAGTAGAAATAATCATTAGAAATTACATTCTTATGGAATCCATACTTTGGGGGAGGCAGGCACATGTCTCAAGTTCTACATTCTTTTTAAAAGGAGAGTGAGAATAGGTTATGACTTCCAATATTGAATCAGAACCCTCATTCCCTTGTTAATTTTGTCTTCATTGTAATCACTAACTGATTTAGCAGTGTGTGCAGCCACCATTGTGAAGAGAAGTACACTGAATGGCCTTGTATCAATCTACATGGCAAGTATTTCGTTTCTCCATCTTCTTGTTATGCTACCCAGCCAGTTGCTGCTGGTTCATCCTTACTGGTTTTAGAATCTGGCTTGTTTGTCAGCAGACATGTATTTTGTATTCCTCCCCCAACACACAGAAGATAGAGATTAGATAAAAACCCAGAACTATTTATATTTCCCTTGAATGGTACCTACACTGAAATCATCCCGACTTTGAATCGAAGCCTGCCCATCTCTAGAAATAACCCTTCTGATTGTGCCCAGATGGTCATAATCTAGGCTTAGTTGCTCTACTCCTAATGGGAACTTGATAGCACACTAAAAGTTTTGATCCAATATGCAAAACACCTATTGCCACATGTCTTGGAAAATCCGCTGCTCCCCTTCATGCAAAAACAGTGTTAGATTTTTCCAAGTGATGCAATGTTGCATGCCATGCATTAGATACCTGGGCGGAAATCCAGTGGTGATCAGGGATTCCAATGTGCTCTTAAAAAGAAGTTCAAATCTCTCTTCTCTGTGGGTGAGATTCACTCTTTGCAGAAAACTATAGAAGTGCCAGTGCACCCCCAAAGCCCTATTTTGAGCACTTAAGTGGAGTATAGGCATTGTGCTTGCCTCTTAGGAGCGAATTTCACCTTCTGAGAATAGCTTGTTCCCAGTGAGGCTGTTTTTTATGAATGCATTTGTTAAAATATAAAGAATAAATGCTCGTCCTTACTCAGAAGAAATTCTCATTGTCATCAATGGGCTAAATCCTGAGACTGCATCAATTTAGGTGGTTCATCGGGAATGTTGCCCAAGTAAGGGCTTAAGGTAACAATTTTCAGAAGTGTTCAAGTGGCTTAGAAGCTTAATAGACAGAATTTCAAAGGTATTTAGGCATCTAATGAGATTTTTCAAAAGCACATAAGCAAGTTAGGTGCCGAACTCTCATTGATTTAAATGGAAAATAGGCATCTACCTCATTTAGACTCTTTTGAAAATCCCACAAGATGTTTGTTTGCATCTTTCGGGTGCCTAAATACCTTTGAAAACCTGACCCCAAAGCCCGTTTTCAAAAGTGACTTAGGTGGTTATGTCCCATTGACTTTCAATGAGATTCAGACCCCTTAAGTGTTGTGACTTCTGAAAATGGGACTTCGGCACCTATGCCACGTTAGTCAATTTTTTAAAAAATTTACCCTTATAAAAAATTGAGTGAAGACTTTTCAGTTTGCCCCAAAAATATGAATGAAGCCATTAATAGGTATAAATAGTAATTGCTTGCACTGCCTTACTCTGAATAGGGCCTTAACCTGCACCACTGATGTCAATGAGAGCTTTGCTATTGACTGCAAAGGGCAAAGAATCAAGTCCATAGTCCCACTGATTTCCCCAGGACTGCTTGAGAAGTAAGATGCTAGTCAACATGATTGTGGTTGGCAGAATCGGGCTGCGAGTGAGTCAGTACCCAGATTAAAGTACAGGGCAGTTTGCCAACTCATACCACACTTTACATTCTTGTAACGAAGACAGACACGCAAGCTGAGATGCAACTGTGCTTTGATTCATCCGAGATATTAACAATGAAATAGAAACTATGCAGTAAAGTTTGGTTTACACTGGGATAAAACAAAAAATGACAGTTGGCAACTACTGTGCTTCCTTCCCTCTGGTGAAGAAGAGGCATTTGACAATATTTTGGCATAAATTTGGTGGCTGGATATTACTAATATTGTTTTGGCCTGTGCAGATTGGTGTGGTTGAGAAGCACAGACGTCATGTAACTGAGCATAAAGGTTTCTGTTTAAGCATGAGTGATGTGAGACAGGAATCACTTGAGCATTTTTCTGACACATTGATGGAAAAATAAATTGGCTCCAAGGCATGTAAATGGTTTTATCTATAGCCAAGTGTGTGCCTTTTGGTTGCAGCAGAGAACAGTCTATACTGTGCAACTAGGGGCTGAGCACCAAAAGTCATTCAGTCTTTCCAGCCTTGGATTGGGATATTTGCCTGAAAAATTGGGTGTCCCCCAGCTGGCAGCATGGTATTGATGTAATTAGTCCTAACGTTGATGGGATTTTAAACATAGGTGGAGACTGTTAAATTGGCAACCTCTAGGAAAGAAAGGAAACCTAGTCAAGTTCCAAATAGACTTTATACAGTGCAGCTGGTTTTTATTTTTCATTCAAAACAGGGAGTAATCCTTTGGAGAGAATCAAGCATTGAGTTTCAAGGATGTTAACAGTAATACTGTTTGACAGTCAGTCAAACATCAATAAATGCACTAGAGATGATTTCCCCCCTCCCTCCTCCAACTGAGAAGGAGGAATCCCTCTTTAATTTTTTTTAAATGAACCCACAAATGTAGGAGCCTTTTGATGTCTGAGTTATCACTCTTTACAGATTTGCTGGCGGCATTTGTCAAAGAACCAGGCAATCGGAAGGAGAGCGGGGGAGGGGGGAGGAAATATGATTTTGTGGTGTTTTTTTGGACAGTATCCAGCCCTCCTCAAGAAAATAAATTGAAATAATCGTAGGTATTATACTGTGGTCAGCCTTAAAAATGTGCCAATTTATCTTAGATAAATAGAGATGGTTACCACTGTATTTGTGGTATTTCTTATACTTAAGCTTGGCAAAAATTGATGTTTGTTTATTTATAGTATTAATGTTTATTTTAAAGCATATTTTTAGATTTTTATCCATTTAAATTTTCACAGTTTAAGTTATGGGGGAAATCAAACAATAATTATTTAATGACAGTGACACCGAGATTCAAAATGTTAAAGTATTATAACTGTTAAAGTACAAATTGTTAATGTCATATGTCAAAATACACAAAGTAAATATCCTCAAATTAAACTCTAGTAAGTTCTTAAGCAGCATTTTTCTTATCTTTCCTTTCTGTAAATTTTTATTATCAATAGAAATATTTTCTCATCAGTTTGTGTGTGTACAGGTGAAATCGATGTATGCCGACGTTTACTGATAAAAAATCAAATCCTTCCAAGCCTACTTATCTCTAGTATCTAAAATTGGCCAGTTCTTAATGGTGACCATTATAGTTGCAATCAACCAGCCTTGTCCGTGGTCTCCTTGTCCACTTTTTACGAAGTAACTTAGAGACACAGGAACTAAGTACGTAAATCTGTTGTCAAATAAGCCTTTACTCGCTATGAGAGGAGGAAAAAAATCAATGGTGCCCATTTTAATCAATGTTTTCAGATGGCTGATCTGGGTAATTTACGTTTTCACAGTTCCCAATGTGTGTTTCACATAGCAGTATGTTTATGGTGTGAAAATTGCACAGTGGGCTGTAGCTGTTGAACTGGTTGCTGCCAAGCTACATGAGTAACCTGAAATGGTTCTTATGATATACAGTATGTGGGCGTCAAGACCCACATCTACGTAATGGTGAAAATTTTGCTGCATACAAAGTATTGCATTGCAGCTGTTTAAAAAACAAACTGGGAGAAACAACAGCAGTTTTGTCTTAAAACTACATCCAGATATAAAAGTAAACATGAAGCTCTCTGTAATAGTCAAAGCTAAGGTGCATTTGTAAATGTAGTTGCCTTTTCGTTTCTTGGTTCAAAAAGTAAATCCAGCTGAGATCAAATAAGCAAAAAGTCCTTATTG